ACAAAATAGGGTGAATACATCTCATATTGCATTATTATAGAAAACAAAAAATTTATGATATAAAATGTCTATTCAATGAAAAAATTATATGTATATAATATAATAATTCATTTAAGCATATAAAAAATGCAATAATGAAATAAATGAAAAGTTAAATGAAGTAGGCTAAAAGAGAAAATAAATTATATAGAAAAGATAATGAATATTAAGGATAAAAATAAGAAGTTGAAAATTACATGTCACTGAGGAAACTTTAATATCACAATCAGATTGTGCGTCCTCTTGAATAACAGATGCACGTTCTGTTTCTTGTTGCAGAATTTCATGAGATTCACAAGGAAGGCAATCGGTAAGTTTCAGCGACTGCAATTCATTCATTGGAGTGGTATTTTCTGAAGAGGTACTATGAGTGATATTTCTGTTGAGAACAGAATTCTGCAAAGTTTGCCTTAGAGAATTAGAAGATTCAGTAACAACTTTTGGATACTCATCCTTATGATTTGGGCTTGAAATGCTCGACGCTTTGTTTATTAGGCCAGTTAGACCGCTATTTAGACGATTGGCGGCCGTGTCTGCGGCGAAAGTAGAGAAAATGAAGTAAAGGAAACAATGAGAAACGAAAAGATTTTTTATTATAAAGAGGTTTCAAATGACAACTCAAAAGGAGATGCCTGTTAAGTTATATAGTAGCTTTGGTAGTCATACTACTAGGCTATCTGTTATAGATAAGCATCCGAAATAAATATACAGAAGCAATTGTGAATGAAACTTAAAGCAAGATGAAACTAAACCAATGACTTTCATTGTTTCGAGTTAACTTTTAAATAGCAGGATCTTTCTCGCCAGAATACTGTTAGTGAGTTTAGAAAATTTGTTTGTGGATAAGTAATAAGCCTAAAGTAACTGGCAAGTACTTTAATTGCTGTTAAAAAAGTGGGCTTGAATATCTCTGTAAAGGTAAATTAGGAGTACAGAACTAGGAACAAACAAATATATCTAGATATATATATATATTGAAATCAGGGCTTATGTAACAGTAGAGCTTAACAGAAAATTAATAACAAAATAAACATTAAATAATGATAAATGATAAAAAAGTGACTCACTCAAATATATTATGTCTCAAGAAGAAATGTTCATTATAACATAGAAACTAGACAAAACAACGGATATGTATTACTACATCGATGAAGGTGTTGGTGCAAAGCCTAATCATGGCTGAGATAGATGAAACATATCCATTTAAACAAAGCCGACCTGTGCCAATGCGAAGGAAGCCAATCGGTGGACGGACATTTCTGAAGTCTTTTGTGGCAGTCTTCAGCCAACTAGCTGCGAGCAATTAGAAAAAGTAGGAGAAAAAGGAATAAAAATGTAGAGAGTAAAGTTATGAGTAAAGAAATTCCATTGGCGTAAACTTAACTTCCTATAAACGAAACTAAGATAATTGGATAATAAGAAGCAATTAATAAAGTAAAGGGGCAAAAAAATGGCATTATAAAACGAGTATTAAAAAATAAAAACAAATGCATATGCCTAAAAAATACATGCTAATTGCAACCTTTAAATTATAAAATAAATATTTTATACTTTAATAACAATTTTATGAAATAACACTCAAAAACTAATTGTGACTAATTGAGACTTTGCGATCATCTCTTGCTTGATAAATAAGGTAGAAAGGAAGGCCAGCGTATTTAATTACTAAAACTATTACTTATAAATTATGCAAATATCTATGTTTCCTGTGGCGAAGCGGAAATTTTAAGTAGGCTAAGCTGCAATGGAATGTAACAAAAACTTGCATATACAC